CTGCTATGCCTATCTTCTATGCTAACTCAACCGCTCAACCTCCACTCACAGATCATCCCACCTCCCGTCCTTCACCTATATCTACTCTTATGTCTTCTTCGGTCACCGTCACAAACGACCTACGTCTCGCAACTGATGGAAGCAACAAACTCTCGGTTTTCAGTATCCTGCGATCGCAACCGCCTCTGACTTCACCGAAGCTCCAGCTCTTCTTCGACCCGGTTCTCCATTTATCCTCGCAGCGTTTAATGTTTGAACTTTGATACAGATCGGACGACAAGCATGTCTAGCCCGTACTCTTGAAACGCTTTCAGTAGACATCTGTTGCCTTTCAGAGACCAGATTACAAAATTCTAGCGCTGTCATCAGAATGGCCTCTCCGGTAAACGCTGACGCCAAATAATACTTGCGGCTTTCCGGAGACCTAGAAGCTGCCGCCGCTGGCCAAGCTGGTGTTGGGGTTGCACTGAGTGCCAGGGCTGAATCAGCTCTGCTTGACTGCATCCCAGTCAACAGTCGGCAATGTGCAGTAAGACTACGAGGTTTATGTAACGTAAGCAGGCGTCGAGACGTTAAGCGTGCCTTGTCTGTCGTCTCCGCCTACGCCCCTGCAGACTGCAGTTAAAGATAGCTTTTACCAGCAGCTAAATGAACTTCCGCGTTCCTCCAAAAGGACTGATATAGTCATCCTTGCCGGGGACTTTAACACACGGGTTGGCCGCCTTCCACTAAGCGAGCACCACCTTGGGGGTAGCTAAATTACACACCTTTATTCCTACTCACCTCCCCATTCTCCTCATCAATACAAAACCACAATCCACCCACTCAATAAACCACTCCCCCCCCTCCACCCCACACCCCACCCCACCCCCACCCCCCACATCACCCCCCCACACCCCACCCCCCCCCCCCCCCCCTCCCCCCCCCCCCCCCCCCCCCCCCCCCCCCCCCCCCACCCCCCCCCCCCCCCCCCCCCCCCCCCCCCCCCCCCCCCCCCCCCCCCCCCCCCCCCCCCCCCCCCCCCCCCCCCCCCCCCCCCCCCCCCCCCCCCCCCCCCCCCCCCCCCCCCCCCCCCCCCCCCACCCCCCCCCCCCCCCCCCCCCCCCCCCCCCCCCCCCCCCCCCCCCCCCCCCCCCCCCCCCCCCCCCCCCCCCCCCCCCCCCCCCCCCCCCCCCCCCCCCCCCCCCCCCCCCCCCCCCCCCCCCCCCCCCCCCCCCCCCCCCCCCCCCCCCCCCCCCCCCCCCCCCCCCCCCCCCCCCCCCCCCCCCCCCCCCCCCCCCCCACCCCCCCCCCCCCCCCCCCCCCCCCCCCCCCCCCCCCCCCCCCCCCCCCCCCCCCCACCCCCACCCCCCTCCCCCCCCCCCCCCCCCCCCCCCCCCCCCCCCCCCCCCCCCCCCCCCCCCCCCCCCCCCCCCCCCCACACCCCCCCCCCCCCCCCCCCCCCCCCCCCCCCCACCCCCCCCCCACCCCCCCCCCCCCCCCCCCCCCCCACCCCCCCCCCCCCCCCCCCCCCCCCCCCCCCCCCCCCCCACCCCACCCCCCCCCCCCCCCCCCCCCCCCCCCCCCCCCCCCCCCCCCCCCCCCCCCCCCCCCCCCCCCCCCCCCCCCCCCCCCCCCCCCCCACCCCCCCCCCCTGCCCCACCCCCCCCCCCCCCCCCCTCCCCCCACCTCACACCCCCAACCCCCTCCAAACCACCATTCATCTCAACTCACCAGGTGCCCACCCCCCCCCGTGACCTTACAACCCCCACACTCACCCAACCACCCACCACCTACCAATCTCCCATCCTCTCATCCTCCAACCTTCCCCATCACATCTAAAAAAATCCCCACTTCCTTTTTTTCTACTCCCCCCCCATCTTAAAAATATAATTATTCCACCAATGCATTACCCTCTCCACTCCCCCGACCTTCCTCGTTCTCCCAACACCAGCTCTTGTGGTCAAACACATAATAAACTCATAACCAACCATCTTTGAGTGAATACGATAGACCCCCGTACCCCCCATCTTCATAAAGCCGCCGCCGCGTTCCTGCGCCCAACCCACCCCACGCCACTCCCCCATCGAGAACCTGAAACAAATCAAACGGCTACCAGAGAACCATTAAAACCTTAAATTACCAAACCGTTGTTTGCCCAAGCTTACTAGGGCGTGTCATCATAACTTCCGCCGGTCTCATCCTCCCATAACAAGCCCGGCCCCCCCGCAAGGTTTTCAGCACGTACGAAGAAAACAAGGCTGCGGGCTTCTTGCCGTCCCTCCCCCCCCCTGTCCACGCCCCCCGGCGGCCCTCGCATTGATCAAATCTTCACACTCCGCCAGATCTTCTAGCTCCGCCATGTGTATCAGAAGCCAACAATTGCTCTGTTCTTCGACATCCGTGCAGCCTTTGATTCTGGCGATGGGACTGTACTGTGGCATTTCCTGTTGAGGAAAGGCGTCCCCGAGAAGTTCGTCTCCATACTGCGCGCTCTCTATAGTCTGACCTCGGGCAGAGATAGGACTTTTGTGAAGCTTTCGCCTACCTTTGTGGCCTCCAGTGGAATTCGACAAGGATGCCATATCTCTCCGTTCCTATTCAACTTTGCCATTGAGGATGTCCTGAAGAACACTCTGGACGATTCGTTGAACGCTGGCGTTGAGCTCCTCCCAGGTAGTCGAGTTGTTGGTTTGGATTATGCTGATGATATCGTCTTGCTGGATGATGATCCACACGTCGTCCAACTTGCACTAAAGCGCTTGCCGATTGGAGCATCAACGTATCGTATGTACTTTTCGCCAACTAAATGCCAAACGTTTTATCAACACTGGCTGGTTGGTGTGCCTGCACTCACTCATGGTGATGAGACACTAGAGGTTGTGGAGAGCTTTGTCTACTTGGGAAGTTGCATCACTGCTGGCGGGGCTGTAGGAGACGAGATTTCGATGCGCATTTCAAGAGCACGTCTCGCTTTTTATAGGCTGAAGCACTTGTGGCGTTGCCACGCCATTCGTCTCTCCATCAAAGGGCAGGTCTATTGTGCAACTGTTCGTGTTGTACTGTTGTGCGCATGCGAGACCTGACCATTCGTAATGATGAGTTGCGCAGACTATCCGTCTTCGAGCACCGCTGTCTGCGGTCCATTGCCCGTGTGTGGTGGCGGCACCACATAAGCAATGTGGAAGTTAGGCAGCGTGTCTTGGGACGTGGAAGCCACTCGCTCGAAGAGCTCGTCTCACTGCATCAACTGCGGTGGTTGGAACACGTATTGGGCATGCCTATCTAGTGTTACCCGCGTCGTGCGTTGTTTGCGGTTGCTGGACAGGGCTAGAGGAGATGGTCTGGTGGACAGCCTACAACATGGAGAAGCCGCATGAATATGTTGACGAAACAGTTGGCCTCGGCCAGCTGTTGTCCATTACCTGGTTGGGGTCCGAGATATGCGGATACTTGCTGGTTGAAGACCTTGGAAGTCATGGCTCGAGATCGATGTCAATAGCAGACGTGTGCATCGGTGTGTTGCGGTGTCCCTGTTTCCTCCCCCTAAAAAAAGAACAAACTGAAAAAAATTCAAAAACTGTGAGTGGTAAACTAGACAAAAAAGCTTTTGTTGTAGTTGCTCTTTTCTTATTATTCATACTGTTTTCCTATTCAGCCATGATTCCGATGGTACAATATCTGTACCACAGATTGTTTATAACATATAATGTAGTTACTTAACCAGTAAAGGCAATGAAGCTGTATCGACCGGCTGTTTCTACTAACTGATTGGATACACTGTCGACGCAGCCGGATGGGTCAAACTGTGTTTGAAAGTAGTCCCAGTGATACCTTTTGCAGTCAGCCAGTACATAATCAGAGTAAAATCGGCGGCTGCTCCCCAAACAGATGCTCCACCCTAATTCAATTATATACCACACTTTTCCTCAAAGTTAGAAGCAACTAACACAAATCGAGGCAAGATCATCAGTGCGTTGTTGCGTAGCGAGGCGTACGGAAGCCTCGGTGAGAGCCACAGCAAGTCTGTCGTTAAGAAACCTTTGCCTGGCGTCAAGCTTGCAAATGAGAAGGCATTGTCACCGAAGTTCCCCTACGTTACGCTACTACAACGTACTGATGATGTCACCTCGATTGGTGATGAAACGCTTGCAAAAAATTGCCAAGCTCAGCGAACAGTGTCATCTGAACAGCCGACGCTACCAGTCTTCGTTTCCACATCTTAAAGTACTCTCATGCGTCCACCTGTAGTGTACAGAATGTACCTCTTGAGCAACCTAAAAAGTATGTTTATTGGGTGCCTATGATAGTTACTTTAAAGTGTGAGAGAATGCACGGTATGTAATGGAATTGAAATGGAGAATCTGTATGACATATAGTGGCGGACTGTCATGAGCATTCGCCGAGTAATCTAAGAAAGCGTCATTTAGAAAAATTTCGGGTGTTATCATCATTCTAAACGTTAACTAGAGGTGGAAAACAACTCAAATAGTGTGCCGTAATATAATGTTTTTTTAGGCGCCAGCAGCTAGATCGTGGTTAGAGGAGTATAAATGGGAAGGAGAGATGATGAAGCTCATACCTCGGGCCCTTGTCGGACAGAAGTCGGGATGTGCCCGCAGGAAAGTAAAACTTGATGAATGAGCTTAGAGATGTTAAAGCGCCTCACATTTCGATGCTTCGAAAGGAAAAGAAGCCTGGAGTCGATCAAATCAGCTGTGCACAGGTTCCGATCCCAAAAGAGCAACAATGTCCCCAGCATCTACTCAACAGCGGGATATACGGAAAAACGCCGACCCCAGTGGAGGAGATTTAAGGTCAGTCACTGATTAAAGGAATAGGGGCAGTAGGTCTGCGCTACGTATTGATGCTTCTCTCCCACATAATCACAAGTGACTGTCCCCTTGATTGGTCAGCGATAACACATCGGTCATCAGCGACGGAAAGCACATTAAAACGCGCAAAGTACCTGTGTGTAAAGGTGTAAGGTATCGTCTATGTAAGACAGAAGCTGCACTCACCTGCATCAGATTGATGGCCTTGCGCATATCCCCAGCTGCGAACCGGTGTATAGCCTTCACTCCATTATCAGTCAACAAAACGCTGAAAGGATATATTAGGATAACTGCCATACTTTTCGTTGGCCGCAATCTGGTGTAAGCGAGGAGACATTTGAGAAAAGCCGATGGGTGCGAAGCGGAACTTCGTGCACCGAGACTGGACTGCTGGAATGATCTTCGATATGTAGTTACAGATCAGACAAAAACGAGTATTCTCAGTGTATTTTTCGATAACTGAAGAGCTAAACAATGTAGAAAAGGACTACTTCTGCGAAGTGCGTTCTGCGCGTCCTTCGTCATTGAATCTGCTTCATCCAGAATTACTAACTTGAATTTGCCGCTGAAAAGTTAGACAGAATCGCTGACCTTACGCAAATAACATTTTGGTGCTCGCAAAACTGAGAATTTGTTCCCTGACGACATTGATACCGCGAGCATCTGAGGCGTTCAACTTGATAAAACAAAGATAACCACGCGAACAGGAGTGCCCACCTCCATTACCATAGAATTCAACTCTTTTGCAGGATACAAAGTTTTTGCGGTCGCCAGTATCGTACTGGTTTTACCAGTGCCAGGTGGGCCATAAAATAACAAATGCGGTAACCGACCCTGTTCAATAAATTTAGAAACTGCTCCTATGGTATGGAGAAAAATGAATTACGTGTTTTTGAAATATCCAGCTGACTAATCACTTCATCCAGCGCGCAAGGTCGATATTTCTCGATCCTGAATCCATTAGAATGGAGTAACGAGCAAACCAGGGTAGATCCATGAAGACAGCAGGCACAGGCGTTTGGGGAATTGTAAAGGTCCAGGTAGATAAGGAAATTCCGATGCGCTAAAACGAAGGGATGTATGGTTCAAACAGCAATAATACAACGAATGGTAAGCCCTGAAGGGTCAGGATCAAACTCAGTGAGAACGAAAAGAGCACATCGCAACCAAGCAGATGGCACAATACGGGTTCGACCCAGGGTTCTGAGTTCCTCCGTTTGTGATGCGTAGAACAGATAGTAATAGATCTGTGGGATGTAATTACCAGAACCACCTGGTACGAAATTGAGCAAAGTGGAAGGTGTAACTAGCTAGCACCTCGTAGGCAAGTGAATGTCATTCCCACAACCACAAAGAAAATGTGGAGCCTAAAGAGAATGGATACTTGGAATAAACATGAGTGCCGACCAAATACGGCAGGGGACAAGTAAAGGTGATGAAAAGGAAACAAGGATACCCGCCTAAGACAGCCTCATCGACCTTTTATTTTAGTGTGTCACAAGAACAGGGGTCAGTTACATCAGGTAAACCTCAGTTAGTTTCGGCGTTATAAACGTTTATGCGAAAATACGCAGCATCATAAAGTTAAGGTCAACTGAGACCGAAAAAATAGTGAGAACTTAATATTGTATTCTGGGAGCAACTATAAATTTGAATCTGTGCAATTCAATCGAAATATGACCATAAACCTTCAAAAGCATAATATGACGTCAATACGCTGATCGTTTTTCACGTTCTCACGTTATAGCGTTAAAAAGTCGTTAACCCACAGATCGGGACTCAAAAATGTGAGATGTCTGTGGGTAATCGCTCCCAGAATCCATCATCATCATCATTATCATCATCAACAGCAGTACATCAGCCATTTGAACTGATGCTTCGCTGCCATACAACCATGAGGACCTATGAAATAAAGAATAAGAAGATGGAGAAAAGGGGGACTTACCTGAAAACCTTAATGCCCTAAGCGAACATTCGGGGTCAAGGCGCCTACACCTTGTGTAGACAACATACCGTCACAAACAGCTGGCTATCGTGCAAAGATAAGGCGGCATCGGCGAGACAGCTTCCTTGCGGCTTTCACTGCCACGCGTCATAATCAGCCATTATCCCGCAGATAACTCAGCACAAAACACACTTTAAACAGACAATCCGATTAGGTGACGGCAGCAGACGCGCCACTGGTGTCGGTTGCCAACCATGCCCTGCAAAGTCCCGAGCCAAGCACAAGGTGAGTCACGTGGACTCCAACCCGGAAGGCGAGACGGACCAACGGCACCCAGTTTGGTCGTCAGTGACTTCATTTCCCGCTGCCAAGTCAACTTCTGTCCACCTCGAGCCTTGCGCCATCCTACATCTGGTAGCCTGAACAAGACCTAGGTAAGCGGTGACCAGGCATGCGTAGCATGTGCCCGAGCCAACGCAACTTATTCAGTGCTATCTGTTGTTCTAGGGTGCTAGCATGATTATCACTACCTAGTACTCGCCTACGCACATCATCGTTGGGGATACGCTGGTGCCATCCGACACCAGCAATGCTTCGCAGACAACGATGATCAAGGACTTGAAGGCGTCTCAGATCTTCAGACCGAAGGGGCCAAGTTTCACTACCATAGAGCAGAACGGCCCTCACTGTGGCCTTGTATACACGACCTTTCAGACGAAGGGAAACTCCCTTCTGTCGCCAAAGATGACGCAGGTTCAAGAACGCAGCTCTGGCCTTTGCAATGCGTGAGCTCACGCCAGTTTCTATGCGCCCATCGTTGCTGATGCAGCTGCCAAGATAAGTGAATTGATCAACCACCTCGAGTTCCTCGTTAGCAAGCGTCAAAGGGTCATCAAGTGGCTGGTGGTCCTGCAGCAACACTTTGCACTTTGAAGGTGCGAAGTGCATACCAAATAATGCGACCAGTCTGGATAGGCTATTCAGGGTTGATTGTGTCGCCCCAACATCGTCGAGAAGCAAGACGATATCGTCCGCATAATGTAGGTCAACTAACCTTTCATTAGGCAGCACTTCAAGGCCTACATCGTTGGACTCCGTCAGGGTACACTCCATGATAGGATCCACGACGAAATTGAACAAAAATGGTGAAATTGGACAACCCTGACGAACGCCACTTGTAGTCGAAAAGCTGTCCGATAGGACACCATAGACCCTGACGCGGCCTGTAGTGTTCGAGTATAGAGCACGAAGGATGTTCACATACTGCGTGGGAACACCTTTTCGCGCAAGTAATTCGAACAGAATCGATCGATCGACCGAATCGAACGCACTCTTGTAGGTCTGCGGTATGCGTGGCGTTGCTATGGCACCTGCCGCAAAGTAAATATATGGTCTATACAGCCACGTCCTGGGCGGAAACCGGCCTGCTGTTCCCTAATCCGAGATTCCCGTTCCGCAGTGAGGCGACGAACGATAATCGAGGAAAGTAATTTTGTCACAACTGGCGTTAGGCTAATACTCCTGTGGTTCGCACAGTCTGTGCGACTGTCCTTTTTGTACATTGCCACTATAATCGATTCGCTCCAATTAGCCGGCACACTCTCTTCGTTCCAGATACGTTCGAATAGGGAGGTCAGTGTTTTGCAGAGGACCTCACCTCCATCCTTAAATAGTGCAGGCAGGAGGGAATCCGGGACAGCGGCAAGAAAAGGATTGAAGGCTGTGATCGCGTTTCGGACCCCGGCCTCCGACGGAGGCTGTAAACTAACCGTCCATGGCACGTCCTGCATCAGATGAGTAGGAAGAGGTCCGGCAGCAGGGGGCCAGCTGAACTGATCTTCACAGTGCTCAGCCCAACGAGCCATACGGCGCTCCTTATTGAGTATCAGCGCACACACGCTATCTCTGATTGTCTCACTGACGCCTGGTTTTCTAGGACCAGTGGTGCGGATTAGCTGGAAGAGCTTGCGGTAATTGCCTACTGCTCCTGCCTCCTCCATTTCTTGAGCCCGACTGCTCCACAAGGCTTCCTTGTCAGCACGCAGGCTCCGCTTTAGTTCACGTCTGATAGCCCGTTTGATTACATTGTGTTCAGAACCAGCCGGGAGGTGTCTTCTGGCTTCCAACAGGTTCACGGACCTCTCGGATATCCATTGACTGGTGCGATGACGATGGATAGTGCCACAAACAGATGCTCCTGCATCGTGCATAGCGGTCGAGATCCTATTCCACTGAAGTTCAGTGTCATTAGGACAAGACAGAGAGTGTTCGCTATGCAGTGCTTCTTGGTAGGCTTGCCTGACCGAAGGTTGAGACAATTGCTCTGTTGCCAATCGTAGGGGACACTTGGTGCGCCTCCCGGTAAAGTTAATGGAGAAACGACAGAGTACCAAGGCATGATCAGAGTCGACACAGGTACTCCAGTACGAGCGGCAATCCAGAATGGAACCGCGCCACCTGTAACTTATGGCTATGTGGTCAATTTGGGTCCATCGCTGGCCAGCTACAGGAGGACGCCAAGTGGCACTTCGGCACCCACTGTGTCTAAAAGCAGTGCTACTAAGAAACAACTGGTGCTCCACACACAGTTGCAGCAGACGCTCACCGTTGTCAGTCCGTTCGGAGTTAAGCCCACAATTACCAACCAGCTGAGCTTCTGAAGAGCTCAGACGCCCTACTTGTGCGTTCATATCCCCTACAAGCACTATAATATCTGAAGTAGTAGCACTGCGTAGTAGCGCGTTCAGTTCGTCATAGAATGAGTCCTTGACAGCATTAGAACTGCAGTCGGTGGGAGCATAAGCGGAAATCACAAACAAACAGCGTTTTGTTTTACTTCGTGAATCAACCTTAGCTGATGTCGTCAAACGGGCTGCACATAAACGGCTGTTCACCGGAATCCAATCAACCAACGACGGCTCAGCCTTGGAGCTGAGAATGATACCTACACCAGCTTGACCCGTGAGTGCCGCATCGGCGTCTCCGGATGCGTGCAACCAATAACGAGAGGATAAGCCGGGTGCAGTCAATTCAATAACCCCGTTAGGGTAATTGATCCTAGTTTCGGACACACACAACACACATCAATACCCAGTGTGTCCAAGGTGCGTGCGAGTGCAGTCTGTTGATCTGTTTGTCATAGAGTGCGAACGTTGAACGTCGCCATGAAAACGGGACAGCGTGGCCTTATAAGGGACTTTTACCGATAGGCGTCCGATAGGTGCTGTGGGATGGTGGCTGCAGATGGTTCTACTCCAGTGGCACTTTGGTTGTTGTCAATAAAGCTGGGAATTATAGAAGGAAGGTTAGTAATGGGGGTCGGGATGGGAGTAAGGGAAAAAGGTGGAAAAGAAAGAAGGGAGGCGCCAGCAGTAGCATGTTTTCGCTTATCCGCCCTGCTGTATGCAGCAGATAAGGTGACCCTTGATAATCTGCGCGATGGCCGATGCAGGATGAAGTTTATGTTAGAAGAAAATGTCATGGTTGTATGTGGGCTGAGATACTGCCAGGGCACCCAGACCTAGACAGGAGGACGATTAGGGTCCTCATCCAAAGCCGTTGTCTCAAAAGCCTGTCCGCAAGGCAGCGGGGTGGCAGTGACTTAGTTTTACAGAAATGGACGCCATCCCATTTCAAACTCCCAACCTGGAGGACCAGGTGACTGAATTTGTCTGACCTCTCACCATTGACCAACCTGGTAGGAGTAGCTCTCAAGATGCTCGGAGGCATCACCCAGTATAGCTCAATGGGTCAATGAGGTACGCAAGCCGTCGCACCACGTTAAGGTCCAGTCTCGTTGCGACGGCCCAGAACCCAACATTTGAGAAATGCACGTACAATGATCTTTTGAACTGCAGCAATGAGTTCGGTTCACTATATGCTCCGGAAAACCGTTCAAGACATTTACCACTCGCCGTTCGAAGCACAGGGGTTGGGGAACTCGCTTCATAACTGAAACCACAAGCTTGTATTGGTGTCTGCGTGTGCTGCAAGGCGTTCGCAAGTAGAGCAGTGGCCTTAGCATGGGAAAGTCGCTTACATTTAGAGTCTGGTAGATGATGATGAGGTCGACACGTAACTGACGGTATGCCAGTGAACAGTCCTAGTCTCTCGCACCTG